TCTCACTGATGCCCATGTTAAAGGCCAAGGGAAACCAGGACTTTTGTCGCGCACTCGGTGAGCTGTTGACATTGGTCGTTTGATTGGTGTGCGATGGGGACTTCCTATCAGGATGCATAAAATGACAATCACTGCGAGAACAGTTGACACCATAGCGACAAGGTTTGCTGGTGCTCAAAGAAGTTGCCTCGGCAACAGGTCGCTCACTCGTGCGATTCAATTGACGTTTCAGGAAACTAATATCCTTTTCATTATTCAGGCCGCAGTTAATCGCCAGTATTTGCGGCAATGATGTTACCTAAATGGATACACAATTAAGTTGAATTGAATTTGAAATAAATTGTTTGAATTACCTTAACGCTCTGATTGGTCGGTGAAAACTTTTTGCAACTCTCACAAAATGCTTGAATATTTTTCTCTGAGCTCAATGAGCGTTTCAAAATATTGCCAAAATCAAAATACTGCTCATTGTCCTTCAGGTGCGTGGGATATGATAAATTGCAGGCCAACAGTATGTTCTCTTTTGATTTCTAAAATATAAATAAGTATAGAATATACATTATAAAAGAGTGATTGATGGCGAGAGAGTGCCTGATCTATGTGTCTTATAAGAGAAGCAGACTCTTTAACAAGTTCCGAGATCGATTAGCTGTAAAGCTCAGCCACACCTCCTTCTTGCCCATTATTTAATGAGTTCTATTTTACCTCTGCCTGACATTTGATACATCTGTTTATACATATTTGTTTGGTGCCAAATATTTTACTTATATCCGTTTCAGCATTAATTTTACAGCGTTCCCTTTCCTCCTCCTTCGTATTGTCATCTGTAGAATATACATAATTTGATATATATTATTTTACATAACTTGTTCAATCAAATATATGCCTACCTGCAATTGTTTCATACGCTTCTGACGACGAGTTGCTATCTGTACACATACTTTCAGCTGAAACATTAATATAGATAATATATTCAATTATTTAAATACGAGTATACTAAAAATATATTTACCAAATAATGCATTTTGTGGTCCATTGATACCAGAGTTCTTGCCTGAATCGAGAATTTCATAATGCATTTGATGTAATATAAAACGATTCCAGTTCTATAAAATACAAATATGTAAAATAAACATTAAATATATTATTTACATATGGACAATACATATATTACTTGCCTGAATTAGGGTAATCAGATTCACATTTGATGATCGATCAGACAAAATCAAGCCCAAAGCGGATGCTTCAGGCACTGTGCGAAATGAGCGCAAGAAGTTGCTCGCTTGGCAAGGGGTTGAAGCTATAAATAAGTTTTTTGCATACATCATCTAATAGCCGTATACTTGTATGCGTACAAAAAACCAACCAGTGCTTTTGTCCAGCATATGAAAGAGGAAGCCCAGTTCGCAGGATAAGCAGAACTCCTTCGAGCAGGTGTGATTCATAAGCTTTATGCGCAAAGGCTCCGTGAAGTAGAGGATCTAAATGTGTACAAGGAGAAAATATTTAATAAGACATCAAATTTAAGTTTTATAATTTAATTTCTAACCTGCAGCATGGCATTGCAATAAGAGTTGGGCAAGGTGGCTTCTAGTCCGGCAAAACAAGTCTGATTATGTTGCTCGAAATCAAAGTCCTGTGTGCCTAGCTTCGTATATTTCATTTCCACTTTGCGATAACGTCTCGGTATGATCTTCACGCCGCTTTCCGCTTTCGTAGCTGCCGTGTTGCCATTTACATTCGGAATGCCTGCACCGCCTTGGCCTTGTTCAATCAGGCAATAGGGTATTTGATTACGTCGGGCAGTTCTTGGATTGGGCGAATAGCCAATCGGTCCCTGCATCTTCATATTATTTAGAACATCTGCATCAATGGCCTTTGGACGATGATAGTTATAGCGCAAGAGCTCCTCCGGCCAGTCGGAGAACCAGCGTGTGCCCGTAGTCAGATGCGGCAATAAAACCGAGGACAACGGAAAATTAGTATCCGCAAAGGGAACCATCGGCAACTGCGGCACCACGTCTGCGAATTCTGTGTTTCTGGAAAACGCATTAAATTGCGGCTGTGGCGTCTGTATGGAGGTTATTGTATTAATATGCCCCGATTGATCGCCAAATGCCATCGCTTGCGATGAGGAGCTAATGTCAAAGCTCAAGCATTGGCTGCCATTCGTATTGATTTGATACATAGAAACGCGAGGCTCACTCAGTTCCACAGTATCAACCAGCTGGAATTGACCATAGCTCGATACGACGGCCAGACGAGATGTCAGCGAAGGCAAGAACTTTAGCATTTGTGGATCGATTAGCACTTGAATGGGGGAGATCAATCGTAGCATACGCAGATCGTAAACCATTAAGAAACGATCAATCGCCAAATTGTTTTGCCTTCCACTATAGCCACACGATATAAGGTAATTGCCCTGCACATCGAAGTCGGAGAGGCTATTTGTATGCGTTTTAATTGTATGCTCCACACTTAGGGTATTTAAATCTCTCAGAGTGACTGTACCAAACTGATCGCCTGCAAATAGATAGCGAGAATTCTTGCGAAGCACCGTGCAACCAGCAGACCCTACGTGCTCCAGGCGCGTCTCCTTCAAGGTACGCATGTCAAAGTCGATGAGCTCCTCCTGCAGACCAGCCATAACCAATCGATGTGGCGACAACTGCAGCATGCACACCATTTCAACCATATTATTGGATCTGTTCAAAATAAGAAATTGACATGAATACAAGAGACATAAATACTATAAACATGAAGACATCAGAAACATATATTAATGATTTACTTGTGCGTAAACTTTGGTAATCCCCGGCGTATCTGATGGCGCAGCGATGTCTGTGTTAATACCAAAACTCCCGAATCAATCGTAATGATTTGACGGACTATATCGCTGGCATGCACCTGGAATGATGTGTATTTCTGCAAGGAGCTAGTATAGTACGACGTCACATGACCCTGCGAATGAAGATTTCATATATATATTACAAAGTAGGTTGTCAGCTAAGTTAATGGATGCCTCACGCCTTGGTTGCCCATCCAGAGAAGTTCTTCGTAGTCATCGAAGGCCACAGTAGAGACACCGAAGTTTTCACCGCCGTCAGCAAGAATTGGAATTGGGCTAGCGACATAATCCGCATCGCTGGAGCCAATATTAAATCCATTGAAACTGGGGGAATAATGATCCGCAGTACGCGCGGGACCAGTATCATAGACACCTAAATATGTAGATATATGTTATCATAAATTTATATACTTGTATATAGGTATCTAAATAAAAATGGAGAAAGTTTTAAAAAATACACAACACATATACATGTAACTGTCTTATATATGTATGTGGTCGACGTACTTAAAATGTCTTCTGTCGCGCCGATTGGGTCGGCGCCGCCACAATAAACGTAATCCATTTTGAAAACCAATAACACTCTTTATTTACTGTTTACGCTTATTATTTATATTTAAGAAGTTTTATTTGCATCAATTGTTGTTGCGTATATATATATATGCTCACGAATCATCATCGTTTGGTATCCAAATTGTATCGATATGTTGTAGGAAAATTATATTAAATGAATGCCAAATAAATTATCGATATATACGAATTTTAAACCATAAATTTAATATTGAGCAGATTGAATGCATGTTTTAATAAAAAAAAATACTTATGTAATTCACAAAAATAAAATAATTAACTTCATTTTGTTGAATCCTTGAATCTTAGAACAAATACTGTCTAAGTTCTTAATGTAAATGTCAAATCATCGATTCAATATTGCAGCCCTGGAACCCAAATAAGAATGTTTCGTGCCACATGCAGATTTGCTGTCAGCTTAACTAGAGATCAGTTTAGAAAAACTTTGAAAATGGCTGATTTACAGAAAATTGTTGAAAACAATCAACGTGCCCAAGGTCTGATTGACTCAATACAGCAAGAGGTAATACAGTACAGTAGGAACTACTGTACAAATAAGTTAAATGCAACTCATTACAGATGGCGGCTATAGAGAATGAGCTCGTCCAGCGTAAAAAACAGGAGCTGATTAAGGAGAACGCATTTTTAACGAAGGAAATTGAAAAAGCTTTGGCACAACTAGTTGCTCTGGAAATTAGCAATGGCAAGAGACAAATACCGGTGCCAGGTAACCGAGGAATATGCACCCAAACCGAAGCAACCTCAGCAGCCGCTGCTCCAGCAAGTGAATCGAAAGCTCCAGCTCCAGCTCCAGTTTCTGCTCCTAAAGAAAAAAAAGTAAAGGAAAAGAAACCGCCAGCTGAAAAGCCAAAAGCCGTTGCCGAAGCTCCTATTGATGTTGGCCGTCTGGATTTGCGTGTGGGCAAAATTATTGAGGTCGGTCGTCATCCTGACGCGGACAGTCTGTATTTGGAGAAGATTGACTGCGGCGAACCGTCACCGCGAACTGTTGTCTCTGGACTTGTAAAATTTGTACCACTAGAAGAAATGCAAAATCGTTTGGTCGTTGTTCTCTGTAATTTGAAGCCCGCCAAGATGCGTGGTGTTACCTCTGAGGCAATGGTGATGTGTGCTTCTACACCTGACAAGGTTGAAGTGCTAAGTCCACCTGCCGGAGCCGTGCCTGGTGATCTGGTCCATTGCGAGGGCTACGAACGCAAGCCTGATGCCCAACTCAATCCGAAGAAGAAAGTATTTGAGACGTGTGCGCCGGATTTGATGACCAATGCGGACCTGGTGGCCTGCTATAAAGGAGCGCCACTCCATGTGCCAGGCAAAGGAACCATTGTAGCACAATCATTGAAAAATGTTCAAGTCAAATAATTTTTTGTTGTGAATAAATAGTACGAAGCTGAGTATTCTTTGGCATTTTCTTAAACGATATTCTTATATAGTAGAAATGAAACATTTCATTTTTATTTTGTTTCCATTAAATTCCCGATTTATTTATACTAGGAATCAATAATATAACGATGCTTAGATCAGTTCCAAAGTTTACAAGAATAATAAGAGAACTATGAAGTTTCCGGGATAACATTTGTTTTCACATTTTATATATTTACAATGTAATGGAAATTAGTGAGCTTAGCTGTTAGTTTTCAGCGTTAACAAAAATTACATAAATTAGTTTTGTCAGATTTCATATTTGATACAAGATTTGGCATTGCATTGACTACTGTTGATGGGGTCGTTGTCCTGGAGGCACCGCGACAGGGTTCGGATTCCTATTTGCTTCGACCACAATGGTCTTTGTTATTACGTCATAGGCTGTGCGATTGTTCTTAAAAAAGACCATGATAACGCAAATGGGAAACAATAGGGTCATCACCAGGTTCTTGGCAAAGGCGCGCAATAAAGCTCGAAAGAAGCTTGGAGTCTCAGCGGGATAGACTAGGGCACGTAACGGCTCTCGCTGTGCCTGGAATACAAATTGTGGCATTACTGGCGCCTGCATTGGTACTACAGCTTCCACATAGAGGATACGAATCTTCATCAGCGATTTGCCAGGTGTAGCTCCATTATAGAAAACCGTCCATAGGCATTCATAGCAACAGACGAGAAGCTTTGTCAATAACTCAATTAGTATTAAGTCCGACGACAGGGTGATAAAGTCCATAGAAATATCTAGGAAATTCAAGAAGATATCCTCATCCTCTAAAGTCTTGCGCATCACATCCTTATCAAAGTCCAGATCAAAAACATGAAACAGCGAAAAGGTTACAATAATTTTCAATATGAATAAGATGACGACATCAATTGCTTCTGCAACGGCGCGTTTCCAAAAGGGTGCCACAACCATTTCTGTTCCACCCAGTCGCTGTATTACATCCTGCTGCTGCGCATCGTCCAACAAACGAAAGCGACTGAAGGCTGGTCGAACAGCTGCTGGGGCAGCTGCTGCTGGCTGAGGCGCAGGCTGCTGAGGCAGCGGCTGCGTCAATGGAATCTGCTGCTGACGATTTGGGTACAGCTGCTCAATGCCTGGCGCTCCGAATGGCAATGGCGTTTGCAATAATTGTGAATAGTTATAGTTGGCCATCAAATAATTAGGAAACATTTGCATAAGTGCCGCCTGTTTGGCCCACTCGGCTAGACTAGCAAAATATGCCTCCTTTGTTGACATCTCGCTGTTAACGCCCGTCGATTTGCGCTCCCGCAGCTCATTGTTTTCAGATGCTTCTTCGGCGCTCTCCATGTCACTTGCAGTCAATTTTCCGATACTTCAAATTTGCAAAACTTATTTACATATATTTGGATTTTAGCTTTAGTTTTGTTGTTGCAGTTGACGTGTAAAAGCAATAGGCGGCGGGGTGTGAAAGGCCAAGGGTATTTATATTGTTGCAGGGTTGCATTGAAATTCCCAGTGGGACAGTAACCAGTGCTCGTACTCCTACTTTTCTCTATGAAAATATTAGTGCTTCAGCAGAAACTATAATTTCACGATAGATATTAAATATTTAATATATTTATAATAATGGAGCACAAAATTACCTTGCTTCTGTCGAAATTATTCAACACTAAGTTCTCGCAAGCAAACTTAAAACTGACAACAAAATATTTCTGTCAAATTTTCACCGCCTAGAAGTCAGTATTATATTTCTCAGCTCATTTATTGAAACGAATAAAATTTGAATTGACATCAAATGTACAGAGTTAAAAACGGAAAAGAAAATTGGTTTAGTATTCATAGCCTCATGTGAGCTAAAATTCATTCCAGTTCACAATACGCATAAAATTCAATTAGTTTATTATATATTTAATGAATATTTATTTATTAAAATGGTATCCACTTATTAAATAGAAGTACATACGTATTTCACACTGCGGATTCTCAATTAGGTATTGAAAGACACATATATACATATGCCGTTCGCTCTAAGGTTAAAATATAACTTACAAGTACGCTTGCCAAAAGCCACAAGAATCTCACTTATTTCCTCAGTATTATTGGAACGTACATACATATGGCTGGATGAATATAGTATAGCATACAGATATCTTATGTTCCAATTTCTGTATTCATCTTATGTTATCAGTAATTACATAAATATGTACGATATTTGATGTGTGGATGTACAAATGGGCCAATATTACAATTGCAAATAATTCGAACGTATATGTCTATATATACACATATATATCAGTATGTATGTATACGCAGTTCTAGTCGCTGACAACATATTATAAACATAAAAACAGGAAGGTGGCAGAACAGAACAAAAATATAAACAATAATACAAAATTCTTCTATTAATACAACGGAAGTTTCGACGATGACAACGTAGGCAAGTAGGTACAAAAAGTTATATATTAACAATTTATAACTTATATTCAGCATATGTGAACGTTCTTCAATAAAGGAATGCAGCAAAAGAGTCTCTCTTCTCCTCATTTATTGCCAAACATTACCAATATTTAAATTCCCAAATTGCTGATTTAAGTTGGACGTCACAGACGTGGCCGTAGTGCCCGTTGCAGCCGGATAACCCGTGGAAGGCAAACCGCTCGACAGCGGCTGCATCAGATTCATGCCAATGCCAAGCTGCGGCTGCTGCTGCAGCTGTGGTTGTGATTGTGGTGTGGCCTGCACCGCTGGCCCAGCATTACCAAACAGTTGCATGCCACTAAGCAAACTCTGATTGGTTTGCATCAGATTGTTTGCTGATTGTTGGTTGCTGCCCACCATATATGAGCTTGCTGTGGTCGCATTTGGAAATGGGCCACCGCCAAAGGCGACATTGCCAACTAGATTCATCGACCCACCGGTGGGTGCATTGCTGAATGCATTTGGTGCGGCCATAACGGGTGCATTATACATGCTCACTGAGTTGGGGGGTGTCATAAACTGATGATGCGTTTGTTGCGGCACCTGCTGCTGCTGATGGTGATGGTGCATGTAACCGCCCGGTGCCATGCCCGTGAAATTACCGAAGCTCAGTTGTGGATTATGTGTGGTTGGCGCATTGCCATACAAGGCCAATATGCTATCCTTGGACATCTTGCCCGACTGATCCTTGTCGCCGGCACTGAGTGTGCCTTGATTGAAAAAGTCTTGCTCCTGCTGAGCTAACGAATTGGGCTGACTGGTGGGCATGGCTTGCGAGACGTCGCCACGAATTCCATTCCCATTGCCATTCGTTTTCTCCGGTGTCACATTACTGCTACTGGCACTCAAGAAGCTCGTGAAACTATCATTCTGCAGATCCTGTACAGCGCTCGCTGCTATCGGCTTCGTGGGCGAGGAGAGCCCCAACAGATCACTTTCAGCAGCACCACTACTTAGGCTATTGGTGTTTTGCACACGATGCGAAGTCTTTGGACTGCAGCCGCCCACCTGATTGGGCTTTGGTTTGGGCAGCGGCGCTGGCAGCGGTGTGCTTTTCGTCGCTGTCGTTGCCGAAATGCGCTTGTCGCTGTTGCTCGATATATTGCTAATGCCCAATCCGGTTTGCCCTGCTTTCTTTTTGCGCTTTTGCCTTTCCAGTTCTTCGTCGATCTCCTTGGCCCAATCGACTTTGGGCGGCGAGGGTGGCACCCATTCTCTTGCCAAATACTTTTTATGTTCATATTTCGCCCGTATGAAATTCTCCAGAGCCGTATCTGTCTGTGGACGTCTAAAACCATCCGGCAGCTGCGCTTCGTAAACAGCTCGAGCACGCGAGTTGCCCATCAATTGCAACGAAATAACTTGCTCCGGCGTCCAGGCATCCAGATTGACGCTTTTCACACGTGATATGTGGACGCCCAGATTCCGGTGGATGCCAGCACATCGAATGCACAGAAACACGCCCAGATTCCACGATGCCCAGCGGGGACCTGCAATAAATCATTGTTTATTTTTATTTACGAACAACTAAAAACAATAGTTGGCGAGAATTCGTTTTATGCTTATCTAGAAAACCACACTTATGATGCTAAAAATATTCATGTAGAGCTATAGCTGAGTGGTAATATTATCAGTAACAGTGAAAGCTCAAGCGAGTGTACAGACAACACTTCAGATATGATTAAAGTCTTTCCACAAATAGTGTATCTCATATATTATCAGTGCGTTACAGTGAAAGCTCCACTGAGTGGACATATTAATAATTGATATATGCGTTTTACATATATGCCTATTCACCAGCTATGCCTAGCCCACTAATCAACTAAAACTTGCCATTAAAGGGCAGTCTTTTATGTAGCGATTTCACTGTACCGCTACTTCGTCCATGACCCTATCAAAAAAGGGGGAGGAGTACACTTAAAACATTCGCATTGCGTGCAGCGCCATTAACAAAATGAAAATGATGTACTTAATGCTAGCTAAGTGTGAGCTAGAATCCTTAACAATGAGTCCCGAGTAATACTAAAGAGGATAAATATGAATATATGCATATGTACATATGTTTACATACAACTCAAGCTTTGTGTGTATGTGCATACATATATAAGTATGTATGTACACTATGGATAAGTGTGTGTGTTAACTTACCCTTGGCATCACAATCCACACAATATTTATTGTCATCATCCCGCAGCATTTGGGTTAATAGGGTTTGACATTTTTCCTGTATCAATTTCGTGCGCTCCGTTTCCTTACGGCTTGCATTTGACGTGCTCATTTTCTTGCACTTGTCGTTGCTGGATGCGCTGCACTAAATGTCTGTAATATCTGTGTTAATAATATGTTAAACAATGAGTGTGTTGTGTGCTTGCTTCTTTAAGTTATTAGCCGCTGTTTACTGTGTTTCGCATAGATGTAAATGAATTTTTTAATGGTTTAAGAATACTACAATTTTTGCTATCGAAAATAGTGTACGTCTGCGTCTGTACGTCACACTCATTTCGAAAGTCTGGCAACAATAATGTCAAAATGCGAAAGACCAAACAGAGCTGCCAGATATTCAAATGGCAAGCCACTTTTTTCAAAACGAAAAAAAAAAAAAACAAACCTTTGTTGTGCGTTCCTTTATATGCATGTGCAACAAGTGAAGATTGTCTGAATTTATTAAATAATGCAACCATTAAAAGAGCAATTGGATGCATGCCTGCGTATGCTAGATTGTAGTAGAACTACTAATAAAGGGGACAAAAATTGGCTAAATGTAAGTAATTGTATTTACCGGCTGCTTGCAGTTGATTGCATTTTTTTTTTTTTTCAGGAATTTTGTGCAAAGTTTTTAACATTTGCAAGTGATTTGCAAATTTATATAAATAAACAATTGGAACATGAGACAGTGGAAATTATTTGCCTATGCCTAACGCAAATCCTGATATGTGTTAGACAATTGGAGTGTACAATTCAAACGGAGGAGGCGAGTGGCTTAAGGATTCACGTAAGTAAAAATTCAACAAGACATACCAATTTTAAGATTTCTTTTGTTTTAGGCTAGTCATTTGCAATTCACTGATCGCATCACAGTTTGCCTTAATCGACTACGCATTTGCCTGCTGTCCACTGCTAATGGAGCTACCCAAGATAACGCCACAGAAGGTGTTTCTTTTGTTAAGCTCCTGGATTCTTTGCTTGATTTGTTAACAGATTTCACAAGCGAACATGTGGATAAAAGCTGCATTGATGTGAACCTCTTGAGTAAACAAGTCAAGTGTCAAGTGGATTTGCTGCTAGGTCAAACGTTGTCCTTTGCCAATGTGGCCTTACAACAGGATAAAAGAGCACTAAGTGCGCTTTGTCAACGGGTATTTGACTATATATATAAAAGATCATTTAAATGAAATATAATAGTACTCTTTTAGGTCATGCGCGATTGCAGCGCCTTTCAAGAGGACTGTCTTCTAGCCAACAACTATTCCAATCAAAAACTGAGAGCCTTAACCTTGGAGCAGGCGCTTTATCAACTCGAGGAGTATCTAAACGAGGCTCTCCTACGTTTAGTTTACACTTGCTTTTTGGACTTTCAAAAAATATCGGTAGATAAAATACGAAATTTATTGAGAAACTCAAAAACGGAAGCAATAGCTGATGAATTTATAGCCGATTTCGATGTCAATTTGGATCGTGCAACACAGATTGGCATTTATGCCATAGCATTTGCGCCAAATTTGAAAGGTATTTGAATTGGATTAAACTTAGTGTTATATTTTGGATGTATGTATAAATCTATATCCCCTCTTTAGTCAAAACCATCGTTCGCAGCTGTTTGGCTTCCTTTGAGTATTTGGATACCAGCTTAATCCCCTCGCTGCAGTCGAATGCTTCTGATTTACATTCGGAGCTATTGGAGCAGCATTTTAAGGAGGAAATGTCCAGATTTAAGCAAGCTCTGCAAGAGATTATAAATAGTCGCGCATTCGTCGCTTGTTATCTGCAAATACTAACGAATGCGCTCAATTCAATTGAGAAACAATTCGATAAGGCGCAACTCGAGGATCTCTTGCAAATGGGTTTCTCAATACTTGAACACTTTCAGCTGGATGCCAATCGAAAGGTGGTGCTTCAGCCAGGACAGGAGCAGCTGCAAAATTTTGTGAAAATTCTGCGCGAATGCAAAGCGATTCTAATGTGCGCCGCCCAAGTAGAGCCCGAGCGCATTATAAAGAGATTTAAGATATTACGCAACATTCTGCGTAAGCTACACGCGAACATCGTCGACGAACAGAGTAAACCAACAGGTTTTAGGGATAAAGTGGAGCAAACTGTGGAGCTAGGCGAAGAAAGAGCAACAGGCAGTCTGCAAGGTTTAACAGCCTCACCATCACGCAGCATACTTTACAATACTCAGAAGCAACGCAGTAGAGCGAATAGTTGTAAGCTGGAAGAAGATAACGTGGAGCAAATGCAATTTGACTATCTTAAGCTGAAGCCGCAGAACTGTGTACGCAGAAGTAAGTTGTTGAGAGGGATATGATGGATATAGTTGTAGAAAGCAATGCGAGTTACCTTTACTACTATATCAAAAAGTTTAATGATACATATATTGCTGTTGATATATTGATGTCTGCATGAGAATTTAATATTTGGCATTCCAAATCATATTAATTTATTATATTATATTATATCATATTTATCATTTTTTTATTGCAGAAGAGAGCCTACGCACTACGATGTTTAAGCGCCAAAATGTTTTTGTAAGCGCTAAGCTGCAGACAAACAACGAGAGTCAATCGGGCAGCTTAGAAATTAGTGGTAAAGCAATGAATTGATTTATTTATATATATTAATAATTATTAAACTGTCCCACAGAAATTCTCAACCAACTTACATGCCTCACGTCCAGCTTCAGCATGAGCCTGCAGGCAAAGTAAAGAGATATGTCGAGCATCATAAATTCATTCGTTCGTTTTTTTAGTTCGCATTCGTCTTTTTATGTTCGTATTCATTCGTATTCGTACTCGCATTCGTAGTGTTAGTACGCAGTGTTTGTTATTTTGCTCAGCATCCAGAGGATTAAAAAAAACTTCAAATATTATCAACTATTATTTGTAAAATTACATAAAATATCGTCCAATGGGAATTGTTCCATTAAAACAATAAGAGAAAGCTTTTAAATTGTGTTTTGCTAAGAGTTCAAATATCGATTTATCCAAGCAAAAGCCAATTGAACTTGTAGATACATAAAGAGACATAGATTTATTATTTATAGCTTGTAAAACGAGGAGCAATGCAAACGAAGGATATTTCAAGAGATGATATAATTAATTATCGCAATGTTAAACCAGCAGAATTGAATAACAATCATCATGTGGTTCCTATTGGCATAATTATAGTGCTTTGCACGGTTTATCTGATGATTGCGGGAGTACAAAACAACTACAATTATTACCTAAAACCAGGAGTAGCTGCCGTAAAGCTAAATCAACAAAATGCCAACGACCAACTGCATCATTTACTCGCAAACGGAAAGGAGGAGCAGCCCGTGTGCAGAGAGGTTGAAGTATTCAACAAGGAGGAGTTTACCTTAAAGGAAGTCAAACAATCCAAAAGGCAGCAGTTAGTCAATATCAAAAGACACAAACAGCAAATCAAATCCATTAAATCAACTGGCAGACAATCAAAATCCGAGCTGCAGAGAAAAAAGGATAAGAAGCCAAATACAGCTGAGCCCATAATTTATCTATTCGCCTTGGTGTTTATATATCTACTGCTAAAAGCGGCCTCCGACATAAATCAGCATTATAAAACGGTAATGGCCCATCAACACCAAGCTAAAATTGTTTCATATTAATATATCTTTTGCCTACAGCAGAGCAAAGGCGATAAACGACTTCGTCGCTGCTCCCTTCAATCCTACGCGCAGAAGGAGCAAAGGCACAATCATCAAGATCGGCGCGCTTCAAAAGGTATTTCAACAAAAAGTTTGCCAAAATTTTAAAGAGGATCTACATAAATATGTATTTATTATATAACTAGGGAACAAATCAAATCAAAATAATACACAAAATAGTTTTTATTGTAATAAATGTTGTGAACTATCGATGTAAAACATATCCTAACTTAAAATCTATATACCTTTACACTTGAACTTTACTGCAATTTCTATATGTATGTGTACTTCGATTCCTATTAATATATAGATGTATAATTTTAAGTGTTAATGACTTTGTATGTTTATGTGCCTATATATATGTATATATATATATCCTATATACTGTGTGAAATAAAACTCTTTTCCGCACTCCTGTGATGATTTTACAAAGTATTATCTAGCCACAACATTTGTGTTTTATTTACCCTATTTTCGAATTCTACTCATTCAATAACCGAAATCTGATTTACATACATATATACACACCATATATACAATATATTATATGTGAACTCTTTTCTTGCAAGATGTTCTTCCATTGCAAACGAGACACAACATATTTATAGAGGGACGTTCCATATCGCTGGATCGTTATAAGGCCAAAGAGCAGACAGCCAGGGATCTGGTGAAGAGAACCTATCCAAGCAAACCCATCCATCCAGCCATAGGCAAACATCTTCCCGGCGATGTCCATTTGGGTAATGGATCGACTCCATTGTCTACACCCAGCTAAGTTTCTCTTTTCCCCAATCCCACTCTAGAGCCGCGAATGAGTCGTCGCCTTTCGGTGCCCGTCAGCATTAACTATCAAATGGTGCAGGTATCGCCGCTAGTGAATCCCGAACTGGTCAGACGCGGCTCCATGGCCGAGATGATTCTGCCCGCGACAGCTCCAAGTGTGCAGACACCCGACTCGAAGCGGCGGGTGCGCATGATAAACCGCCACTAAAATAATTTCACTATGCTAAATATATACGAGGGTAGTTTGAAAAATTTGTCATTTTAACTTGAAGTATAAAAAAAAGAAGAAATTTATTGTAATTAAAATTAAACTATTATATTTTTCAGACTACCTTCATTTTACAAAGTTTAAAAGATGAATCGAAATATTCAACGAATTTATGAATTACTTCAGAGATACTTGAGACCCACCCAAACGATTCAAACAGCTCTAGCTGTAGTAAGATCATATATACATATGAATATTTTTAGCAACTAAATGCCAAACTCAATAACTAAACTATTAAATAGTTTTTTGCCAAATCCATATCCAAAAAACTTTTTGAAATTTTTAAACTTAGACGAATTTAGGCAATATTTAAGTACACCCCATTATTATAGCTCACCCGCTTCATCTTATAGATGATTAAGAAATATATATTGAAAAGTATTTAAGTTTCTGGTTTTCCAATCAAACCACTCAAACTATTTTTAATCGATAAATACATTTTATGAATAATATTTGACGAAAGCTTCAGCTGAAACAAAATTTTTAATAGGGTTTATATTCGAGTTTGCATTCTAAATGTTTGAAATTTGATATATATAAAAAATATATTTTATTGGATTTATATATAAATAAAAAAATACGGAAGTTCCAGATTCAAAGGTCAGACATCATTAAATTTAAAAATTTTTTAAACATATATTCCAGTCTCTGATTTCTTGAAATCTATTTTCAAAATCAAATAAATGCGATTCTGTTTGTCAGTTTTTTGTTTTTGCTTTTAATCAATAAGTGTAGTATTATTAAGGCATTTTGAAACATAGAAATTAAATTATAACTACGCCCATGCAATTATTAAGATATACAAATATACACACATTTAATCAATTGCACAGATGAGCCGTATTACCAGAACATATAGACCTATATATGGACATATATATATATATTTATATATATATATGTATATGCTAATAAACTACTTAAGGGCAAGATTTAAAACAATCTTAGGCTAACATTTTTGTGTTTTGTTTTTTCTCCTCGTTTTTCTGTCTTTTGGAATCAAATATGAAATTATTCAAAACCAGTTGATGTACATACATATATATTTATATAAATATATAAAGTATTCTATATTTTATTAACTTAGATTGAGATGGGAAACATTAAGAAAGTCTATGCATTGTTTTAGAGTACGAGTAAAAAAGAAGAGCATAAAGTTGAACTTAGATTAAGAATTATGTGACAAATCTACAAAAATTTTCTGGAATTTTGTGCTAGTTTGTTGTTGTTTCTTCTTCTTCTTCCTCTTCTGCTCCGTCTTCATCTTCAGCTATTCATTTAAATACAAAATAATAAATTACGTATTTTAATTGCAATTGTGGAAGTGTGATTAAGGATTAATCTTTAACTAAGCTCATTGCCTTCGTACAGGCTTTCGCAGCTCTCCAGCAAACGAAGCACGGGCGATATATCATAGGGATATAGTTGTCGAGAGACGAGCCGGGATATTTGCAAACGCAAGCGGATGAGCACACCCATCGCCTCGTCCAGCATGGCATTGCCCATGCCAAAGCTATGGCAGCTATGCACAAACATCGTCCAGTTCATCCGAATATATTTGAGAAATCGCAGCAAATACAGCAGAAAGCACGTCTCATTGCTGACAAGCAGATCCAGCAACAGGTCCGAGCTATTCGATGCCATTTTGAGAAACTCCAGGAATGTATATACAGGATTCAGCATGGCGACCAGCTCGGGGAATGCATTATTCCGAAACGAGATGCCCGATGTGACGTCCAGGGTGCAGACCATTGCCTCTATCAAGTGATCATCCTGATCATCAAAGAGATGTATCAGAATCTTACTAAAATGGCATTCCGGATGGAACTCCAGTGTCTGCTTGATGAACGTTTCCAGTTTGCTCAAGACATCTCTTATCGATCGCTCGATCAGCTGTATATCCTGAAAGGCATCGTAATCGGTTGAATCTATCGACGAGTCTGATGAATCGCTGCGTATTTCCTTTACAGTAACCGCTATCGATTTCAGCACCAGTAGCACCATCTTCTGCAGCAAAGTCTTATCCATTTCGATGAGGCCAACGCTACCAGCTGCTGCCGCCTCTGTCCCCTCGTGTGCCGGCAGAGAGTTGTGAGCCAGTAGCGTGCCAGGCACATAATTGACAGGAGCACCATTGTAACCAATCAGTCCAACAATATTCTGGGGCTGGCGCCGTGGCAAGGATTCGAGTATGCGCAAGCTGCGCACATGGCAGACAATCTGATGGGCCAGCCTGCATGTCTCCTCCGGCAGCATGTCCTGCAGCGCCAGCGTGGAGCCATAGCAGAGCGCCTCATTGAAGAGGCACAGCATCTGCTTGTAGACCGTGCACGACAGATTGTGATTGAGCAGCAGCTCAAACTTGTCCAGCTGCGCGTAGAACGGACGCGTCTCGTCTATCGAGAGATTCGCCTTGACGGAAATGATGTTCTCCCACAGCTGCAAAAAGTTGAGCACACAATGCTCGGCGCTATCCTGATGCACTGGAGCCATCAGCTCCGACATGTGCTTCACTAGCGTTGGCCATTTGTGCTCCAGTTTCTGTATGGTTACACATTTCAGATGCGTTGTATCGAAGCTCTCCGAGTCGGTTAGGGCAACGACATGGCAACCATTGGCTGGTATATAGTTAGCGAGTGAATTACTGCTATTATTTGTTGATGTTGTTGTTGTACTCTGGCTATGCTCGTAATGGTCCGCATCAGCCTCGACTGCATCACGGAATTGCAAGGCGAAATAGTTATTCGCCAGTGGCTGATCCTGCACGGGGAAATGCATATAACTAATGGACGTATCTGCCGCTGTGCTGGCTGCCGTGCTGCTCGTCGTATATTCATCGTCAAGCGGATGCAGCTCCACATCCTTCCACTCCACAATCCGTTTGATTATATCTAAGCTAAAGTGTATCTTCTGCACGGCTGTCTGATCTAAAAGATCGTAGTTGAACAATTGATCGACAATCTTTTGCAGCCACTCGTCGTTCAGCTCCTGTTTGGCAATGACCAAAAAGGCGGCCAGAACACGCGCTGCCAAAAATTGCACATAGGAATTGTTGTAGCCGGCCAGCACGATAATCTCATCGATCAGCTTGTGATCGTTGCGTATTAAAGCATCGCACACGTCCATAATTCGAGTGCAAATGAAGCCCTTCGCATTCTGTTTCAGGTAAATGTCGAAGAGCAGCTGCAAATTGGAGAGGAACTGCAACAGCTTGTTGGTTGGCCATTCCCGCAAGTAGGCAATGCGCTTCTGGCCATTCGAGTCGTGTGAGTAGTGTGATTGAAAGGGCTTCCTTAGCGTGCGCTCTGAGACGCCGCAGAGGCATTGGCGTGTTAGCGATTGCTCAAATTCCAGCATATCATCAATGGTCGAGGCGGAGGAGGAAGCGGAGCAGATATTATTGCTACTGCTGCTATTGCTGCTGCTGGTCGTTGTCTGCGTCAGCTCCTTTGTGGCCATTAGCAGTTCGGTTAGCTGCGCTGCTCGATCGACCTCATCCTTGGCAACGCCTTCGCTGCCCTTTTGTGGCAAGATATTGTTGACTAAGTGCTGGACACCGCCCAGTAGTTGCGCATAGGAGGCGGCACGCGAATTACTGGGCGTCGTTGTCGGCGAGTTGTTTGTGCTGCTGGGCAGCGAGTGTGTGGAACAGGACGAAGACAGCGATGAGGATAACAGATGACTCCGATTGTTGCCATTGGCATCCATCACATCCGCTGCCGCTGTCGCCAATATGTCCGGCGGCGATTTGGCAGCCACCAAATGTATTTGTTTATCTATTTTCTGGCGTTTCGTTTGCGGCTGTTCGTTGAAATGATTGGTGGAGACATCTGTGCTGGCATAGGCAATGTTTCCATTGCTGCTGCTGCTACTTGAATTACTGCTGCTGCTGCTGCTGCTGCTGCTGCTACTGTTGCTGCTGGTGGTGCTGCCCGTTTCTGTGTCCATGTTGCGTGTTGTTTTCTTTTTATTATTGACGTACCCGACGTCCTTTTCAATTGTTAAATCGTGCACTGCAAATAAACGACAGTTTAACTTTTCTTTTCAATCAAAAAAATATATCGAATGCAAGCCAAGCCAAAGCCTTTGCAAGTGCCACCGAATTACGCGTATTCACAAGGTTACGTGTGCATTGAATTTTCTGTGCAGCTTGTGCACGTATTTTGTATACTAGTCACTAGCAGCATGCAATTGAACATTTCGAATGCCATTATTTATCGTTTTCGGGACTCAAATTAATTTAAACATTTTTGGCTACTTGTTGCTCAATTTACCTTTGTAGCGTTTTGTATTTGTTTCACTTCACTCTCGTTTGTGCAGGCGCAGTGCATTATGGTTTCGTTCTGCATTCAAGTCTCGCGTTTTTGTTGTTTACATTTTATTTATTTCATTCGCTTAAGGTTTAAGAGCAATATACAAAAAAAAAATAACAACTGGCACTGTTAATTAACAAGTAGCGAGCGCGTCGCCATCTTTTTGTAGTGTTGGGTTGTTCATATGCTGGTGCAGTGCCTACACAAACACGTTACGACATGAATGGCCAACAAGTGTAGAAGGGAGCCACACACGTTTCGACGTGCATGACACCTGTTTGAATCAAATTCCACTAAGAAAAATGCTGGTCCAGCTATCAAGCAGCATATAAAATTAAATCAGTATATTTATTATAATCACCATTATTGATTTTGAATAGCGTAATAGCTTTTCTTCAAATATTTAAATATCCTAAACAAAATGTTATATGCTTCAACTGGTAGCTCTCCAGTCACAGAGCTGCCACATTTTTATAGAACATAAATATCAAAAATTTTCTTTTTACTTTTTTTATAGAAAAATTAACAAATATTTTTCAAAATCTTGATATATATTAAATTCAGTAAAATTCAAATTTGAACAGTTTCACAAATACAATTGGCTCTTTTACTTTGGCACCGTATATATATTGACAGTGTGGCAACACCGCAACTTGTTTTTCATTTGACATTGAAGTTGCACAAATTTCCAGCAGCTGGCGGGTGGGTGAAAAGGACTACCATTGCGGTACCATATCGGCAATTAGTATAAAAACGGCGCTTTTGTGGAGCTACGCTGTGGGCCGTGCTGCCCAATACCGATTATCAAAGAAGTTGTGCAGTAGTGAACTCGACTCAGTTATAATCACATTTAAGTAAAGTGTCATCTCTTTTGCTTGTGCAGTTGAATTTTGTCTTTGTTTGTGTCAACTTGTGTTAACAAAACCTTCGAAAGGAAAATGGCTGGTACACTGCCCCCGCTTAATCAAGAGCCGATTTTCAAGAAACTCCAGGAATACTATGACCTCCATAACAAAGAGCTCATCATTAAGGACCTGTTTATCAACGATCCTAAACGCTTCTCCAAATACAGGTGAGTTCTTACGGTTATACGGTTCATACACACACACATACACACACGCACACACACATTAATGAATGCCGATAAAGCTAGATTTCAAATTTTCTATGCGTGTATGCGTATATCTGTATATGTTATACACACATTTATTTGAATGTATTTATTGGGCGGTCAAATCGCTGAGCTTTGGGGTTTGGGAAAAAAAGTGTTGGATAATTATTCGATATTAAGAATTGATAAGCAATAATGCTGTAACGTTTTTGATAATCTAATATATAATAACTCTTTACGTCAAGTTATCAGAATATCTTTGTCCTTGCTTAAGGTCACAGCAATGACTTTTATACCCTTGCAGGAGTATTATGATATCGTCATCAAATTTGTTACATATAGATATACCGAAAATTTCATATAGTATATACATACATGTGAATATTTATTTTTGTATGTGTATATATTTATTTATTGTTAATTGATGTACCCTACTGTGCCCATCAGTATTGCGAATAGTTTCTATTCCGTTTCTAAACAATATGTTTCCCAAACCATTATAATAATTACTTATTTTAAAAATAAGAACAAACCGTATATTTTATGAAGTATTTCATAATAATCGTCGAATATTACAATTAATATTACTTCAATATTTGCTAGTGTATTTGCAATTCAACTTTCGCTTTTTTCATTGCCATATCCCAATATCAATTTAAACTTGGTTAAGGTCAAACAAATTACTTTCCATTAATTAAGAATCAATTTTATTTTATTTGTTTTTGATTAATTTAGTTTGCGATTGTCAACGCCCAACGATGGTGAAATTCTGTTGGATTATTCAAAGAATCGCGTGAATGAGGAAGTATGGCCTCTGCTGCTGGAGTTGGCTAAGGTGAGACGCGTTGAGACGGCACGAGATGCCATGTTCGGTGGACAGCACATCAATATAACCGAAAATCGTGCTGTTTTGCATACGGCCTTGCGTAATCGCGGCGGAGAATCTGTACTCCTTGATGGCAAGGATGTGATGCCCGATGTACGCGCTGAGTTGGCGCATATGAAGGAGTTCACCAACAAGGTCATTTCTGGCGTTTGGCGAGGCTGCACCGGCAAACAAATCACCGATGTGGTTAACATTGGCATCGGTGGCTCCGATTTGGGTCCACTCATGGTCACCGAGGCGCTGAAGCCCTATGGCAAGGGCTTGCACTCGCATTTCGTATCGAACATCGATGGCACCCACATGGCGGAGGTACTGAAAAAGGTCAACTATGAGACAACGCTGTTCATCATTGCGTCCAAGACCTTTACCACACAAGAGACGATCACAAATGCCACTTCGGCCAAGACTTGGTTGCTGGAGCATGCCAAGGATGTGAGTTTACTAATTATATGAAAGATAATGTACATTATTAATGTAAATGATTAATTAATGCAATTCGTGTCATAGGAGGATTCGGTAGCCAAACATTTTGTTGCCCTGTCTACAAACAAGGAAAAGGTAACCGCGTTCGGTATCGACAGCGCCAACATGTTCGGCTTCTGGGATTGGGTGGGCGGACGCTACTCTCTCTGGTCTGCCATTGGCTTATCCATCTGCTTGTCCATTGGCTTTGAGAACTTTGAACAGCTGCTCGAGGGTGCATACTATATGGATACTCATTTCCGCACTGCACCACTGGCGAAAAATGTAAGCGTTGAAAATCTTTACATGTAATTAAATATAAATTAACATAGTGCAATTTTCACATTTCGTAGGCACCCGTTATTCTGGCTCTGCTTGGCATTTGGTATTCCAATTTTTATAATGCCGAGACGCACGCTCTGCTGCCATACGATCAGTATATGCATCGATTTGCCGCATATTTCCAACAGGGCGATATGGAGAGCAATGGCAAATTTGTCAGCAAATCGGGCAAGAAAGTTAGCTATAATACGGGTCCAATAGTTTGGGGCGAGCCAGGCACAAATGGCCAACATGCCTTCTATCAGCTCATACATCAGGGCACACGCTTGATTCCGTGCGATTTCATCGCACCAGCACAAACGCACAATCCCATTGCCGGTGGTAAACATCACAAGATATTGCTCTCGAATTTCCTAGCTCAAACGGAGGCCCTTATGATGGGCAAGACCGCCGATGAGGCCAAGAATGAGCTCTCCAAGGCGGGCCTGTGCGGCAACGAGCTGGAAAACTTGTTGCCCCATAAGGTCTTCGTTGGCAACCGCCCGACCAACTCGATTGTGGTCAAGAAAGTCTCACCATTCACTTTAGGTGCATTGATTGGTAAGTTGGCTATAAATAAATAATCTATTTGATCTTTAGAATGACGTTTACCTAATATACTTTGCAGCCCTCTATGAGCACAAGATCTTTGTGCAGGGCATCATTTGGGACATCAACTCGTTCGATCAATGGGGCGTCGAGTTGGGCAAACAGCTGGCCAAGGCCATTGAGCCAGAGCTGGATAACTGCGAAGAGGTCTCCAGCCACGATAGCTCCACAAATGGCTTAATCAATTTCATCAAAGCCAACTGGAAGTAGATCGCGCGCATACCTAAATTTGACAGTTACGTCTTTTACTTATTTATATACACGCTATGCGAAATTCTGTTCTTTGGCACAAAATTCAAAACTATACTATATTTGCATGCATATTGGAATTATAAACATAACGCATTTTGTTTGCAAATTGGCGAATTATCTCACTATCGGTAGTTACACTATATTACACAGGTATATATGTTGTTGTTGAATGTAGCTAAATTACATGTAAAACAGTTTAAAAAAAAAAAGAAAAGTGCATGAAATTTAAAGCATAAAATGTATTTGAAACAAAAGCTCTTGTATTTTATTTATTTCTGGGCAGGAGAAACGGAACTTGATATTATTTAGCCCGCAGACGCATCTGTGTCTGCGTCTGTGTCTGAGCCCTCTTCTTCATTATCATCGCCTTCTGATGAATTCTGTGTCTCTATAAGATGTTCCTCATCGGCCGCCAAATCATCATCGGCCTCCATTAGATCATCATCTAAGGAGTTATTTTGATTGGGGTCCTCCTCCTCCTCCTCCAAATCACTCCAATTCTTTTCGCCTGTTTGCGTGACATTTTCTAGAGAGTTAATATTTTTTATTAACCGAACTCATAAATATTAAAAAATAATATACCTGGATCCTCATCTATGATTAAAGCATTTTGAGAATTCAAATCGTTGTTCGCATTCCGTTTCATTTGACTTATAATCAAGTTGACTCGACCAGAAACTCTAAAATACAACAAAATTTATACAATTTTAAGCAATTGAAAATCACAATAAACTATTGTTAAGGAACATAAATATTCATAAATATTATATTTCGAAAACTCTGTAGTTAGCGAATACTACAAAATTATCTATTGCTATTTCAACATAATTTCTCGCCATTCTTATTCTAGAAAATTTGTATTAACTTTAGTAAAATTACAAAACCAACTGGCAATATGTCGTCAGGCAGCACGGATTCTGCACGTAGTAGTAGGGTTCCCGAAGCGGATGAGCTGATTGAGTCCGTTGCCCGGTGCAAGATGCCGCTGGGCGATCATGCAGATATTCAAGTTGTCTACGATGTGATTGATGCAACCATCTGTGCAGCTATTAAAATAATCGAATCTGATCCGCGTGGGCTCTTTTGCTACAAGTACCCGGTGTCATTTTACAATTACTCCGACATGCAGGGACCGAATACACCCTCAATGAATTTAAGCGAGGCGTCGAGTGATTTCGTGCAGCAGTGGCTGAAGATCGGTGAATTTGAGTATAACAATGTGTTGGCTGTTATTCGGGACTTTATCGCCAAATGGCATTTGTCGCCAAATACGAAATGTGTAGTCCTCACAAATAATCGACATCACCAGGTGCCTCTAAAGGGTTCCATTCACTTTGTCGATGCTCACTTCTCGCGGCCCACGCAACGCTGTCCCAATCCCTTGGCCGTGGCCAAGATTCGATTCATCATTACTGTGTCGAGTATCATGCAGAGTTATTATCCAGTGATGATAACATATCGTTTCGAAGGATTTCGCACGCTATATTATGCTGTGGGTGAGCGGGCGATTCCATCGAATACATTTCAAAGATTTTACATTGACACCATCTTGCATAACAAGTTAAGTTTCTATGCGGAGATCTGTGAGTGCCGTCATGGTACCGCCGACAAGCCAAAGAATAATATTGCTGACAAGAAAGAATGTTGAACATACACATACACATATATTCCCATTAAACGAGAAGCACTTTTCTCAGAAAGTTATGTTATTGTAACTGAGTTGAAATTGAAACGGATTTGGGAACATTTACAGACAGTTCGTAGCTAAGATGGTATCAGTGTTGCCAAGTGTTGAGTTCCGAAATAAGTATTTCTTCTATGTCGTTCCTCTAAATATTTCTTCTGAGTTGTTTCGATAAGAATTTCTGCTAATTTTTTCCACCAAGTACTTCTTAGAATTTTTTCTAAGTTTTCCCTCCAAGTATTTCTTCTTAGTCTTTCTTCTAAGACTTTCCTCCAAGTAGTTCGCCGAAGTCTTTAATGCTTAGCTGAACAATCACACACTTCAGTTCACTTCACCACACTGCACGACTGACCCCACTAGGCAGGCCTGGGCGACTGAAGAAATGATGCAGCTGTTGCTCTTTATATAGGGAGACTTTCACTCAGACACTAATGCGCTCAAATGTTGAGCCCGACGTCAGGTAGGGCTCGTTTCAGTCGCTCTTTAACCGACCAATGGGAACACGCTCTGCTACTGCAAGCATTCTAGCTTCGTTTTACTCAAATATAAGTACCAAATGAATACTCCTGCATACATACACACAACTTTAATGATCTTCTGAAGCTCTTATTCGTCTCTTGCTCTTGTTAGACTGGCAGACAGAGAGGCAGATATACATACAGACATACGGACTGATATATAGGCAATCAAACATGCATATATCGGATTATTCGCTGCTAAATGTTGATATGCTAAATAGCTTATGTACATTAGTATTTATAATCATTAGATGACAGAGACAGCACTTTTTCTCTTCTATAGTTCTCTTAAGGAGTAGAACGTATGCATAGCCTGTCAATAGATGGTGTCTATAGCATCGATATAATGGGATAATGGGATTCACTTGTAGGACTTACTGCATGGCTTCCGTAATGCAAAGTAGACGTTGCTCCGCAATGCCGAGGCAAATGCCCAGCTTATCGCGCAATTCCTCTTTATCCTCGGACATCATGATACTCGTATGAGTTGTCGCCAAGGTTTGTAGCCAGCGCAGAGCACATTTTACACTAAAATCAAATATTTACATATTAGTTAATTATAAAATTAAACTTGCATTACTCACCTCGCCGCTTTGCCTTGTAACAATTTGGACAGCTCGTTGATTAGCGGGCCTATATACTCCAGGGGTAAGCGATCAATTGTTAGTTGCACTGTTTTCTCATCGTCTGAGGCCAATACGGTTCGCAGCATCCTACAAGGAAAATAAATATTGGTGTCATATATTAAATTAAAGCTCGCTAACTTACTCTTGATCCTGGCTGTGCAGAGCCTGCATTAACAGTTGCGTCTTGCTCTGACTTTGTAGTTTGCCGTCCGGCAACTTCATGGCCTGGAGGGACAAATTCTGCAGCCGTGCCTCCATGGGCACATCGTTCCGTACCTTCTTATTCGACAAGGGCAAAGCGCTATTGTACTCCACCTCTTTGAGGCTCACAATTGGTACTTGAGCCTTCAGAGCAGCTGGTGTGCCCTGCTCACTCCGCTTGTTCTTGGCATACAACTTTTTCGGCTCGGTGCGAACGATAACATTCAGTTTCTCAGCATAGTTTGGAGTGTAACGTTCGAACTGCAGCAGGCGTCGGCTGCCATAGCCGAAGAGTATCTCTTCTGAGCGTTGAGCATCTTCGACAAAATGAGCGGCGATAGCATGAATCGGCTCCACTGTCTCAGCGCCATCCGAAGCAATTTGCAGCGAGACCTTTGGCTTAACATATTTCTCAACAGAGATGCTGCAAGAAACGAAGCGTAAATAGTTTGTCTTATATTATGGGGATTGTTCACCTTTCCGCATTGAGCAAGTAGATGTGAATGTTGCCATTGCGTGTCACACTCGCTATGCGCAATTGTCCATTATCGCGCACTTCGCATGCCAAACTGTGTGCCACGTCCTCCATTAGGAGCGTGCATACCGAAGCTTTGTTTCTGCCTTTTCTATCAATTTTCCAGAAGGAAATAACACGCTCCATTCTGGCCGTTGTTATTACGTATTCATTGTCATTGAATTCAAAGCTGTTGATTGCATTAATTTCGCCAGAATGTCCGGTGAATGTTTCCACCAGCTCCTTCTTGTCTACATCATAAACCTTCAGCTGCCGCGATGCAACGGCCAGAGTTCGACTTTTTGGCAGAATTGCCACATTCAACGGCTTCTCGGGTCCAACCGGCCACTGCCGAATAGAGCGTTCCTCGGCTACGGACCACACTATTGCGCGACCGTCTGAGCCCACAGTATAAAGATGTCCATCATTGTCGTAGGCAATGGATGTGACGGCACCATCGTGTTTATCGCCTTTCAAAACTCGGTCAATCTACAAGGAAATTTAAAGTAATGAGTTAAAACTCATTAAAATTAATAAGAATACTCCACATACCTTTCCCTCTGTCACCGAAAAGAGTACAACTGTTCCCTTAGATGTGCCGAGTGCTATGTAATGTTTACCGATAGTTGTGGAATCATTAATTTGCAGAGATTTCCGAGACTTCTTTATACGCTGTGCATTTATTGATATCCATGCCAGCGCCGTGCAATGACCGGTTAATTGTAAGCTCGGTGTGTATTCCTGCTTTAATGTATTCGACTCGGTGTCCCATATTCGTAGGGTGCCCTGTTCATCAATTACTGCAAACAGTTTCCCACCATTTGATGAGAATCCCAACACGTGCTTCTTGACCAGCGACATCGCTTCAAATCGTTTGGAACAGAAAACACCAGATCCAGTGTTCGGTAACAAAACATTAAAAACGACCAAGTGTGTTGATATTTTTCTTAGTATGTATATTTCCCCCAGAAAAATACTTAATAAATACAAAAGCGCAAAGGCATGCGTTATTTTTTGATAAGAATGTTCAGATTCTAATAAATTATTTATATTCTATAATTTAACAAATAATGTGAATTAAGAGCAAACAGCATTTTTAATAAGGAGTAAGGGTATTTTATGCGATACAAGAGCATCTACTATCATATGAGATTATAGATTACGGTTACATAGGAATTGAAAACAGCTGTTAAATTTAATGTTATTGAAAACAAAAATTAAACAAGTCTTTATGTCAGTTATATGTCATTTAAGATCTTTAATATTATTTGATATTAAATCTGTCATCGATTAACGCACAGAAATACCTTTTCAGTATTATCGAATGCGCGAAATCAGTATTTTTTTTGTTAAGAACCAGTGAGCAATCGAGAAACTTCGTTGACTACATTTTGAGGTTAAGCGCACTACCGACTGATTGACTTGCTTTAGCTGCTTTTCGCGTTTTGTTAAATATCTGTGAATAAAAATGGCTTTATCTGTACCAAAAGCACCCGGAGTGGCGCAAATGTTAAAGGATGGCGCCCGGGTAAGTGAAATACATATGAAAATTAAGAAATTATATTTGATTTCATTGAAATTGGAATAATAAAAACCGCCGGTGTGTTTTTTCGAAGCGCGTGATTAGTCATCGCAGATGTTCATTTACAAGGCATTAATTCCATTATGTATGCAATTTTTGTAGATGTACAGTGGTCTGGAGGAGGCAGTCTATCGCAACATCTCTGCCTGCAAGGAGTTCTCACAGACAATGCGCTCCGCCTACGGCCCAAATGGCATGAACAAAATGATCATCAATCACATCGAGAAACAGTTCGTGACCAGCGATGCGGGTACCATTATTCGGGAGCTGGATGTTGAGCATCCGGCTGCCAAGCTGATTGTAATGGCCAGTCAAATGCAAGACGCCGAGGTGGGTGATGGCACGAACTTTGTTGTTGTGCTGGCTGGTGCGTTGCTCGAGTCGGCGGAGGAATTGCTCCGATTGGGCATAACTACAGCCGAAATAGCCGATGGCTATGAGAAGGCATTGAATAAGTCCTTAGAGATACTGCCAACTCTAGTCTGTCACAAAATTGAAGACTATCGCAATGTTGAGAAAGTAAAGGAGGTCATTCGCTCGGCCATTATGTCGAAGCAGTACGGTCAGGAGGATTTCCTCACTGATTTGGTGAGCAAGGCGTGCGTTTCCATATTGCCCGATGAGGGCACCTTCAATGTAGACAACATACGCATCTGTAAGATTTTGGGCAGTGGATTGGGTGCATCAGAGGTTGTACGCGGCATGGTCTTCAAGCGCTTCGTAGAGGGTGATGTCACCTCTGCCGAAAAGGCGAAAATTGTAATTTTCTCCTGTCCAGTCGATATCATTCAAACGGAGACAAAGGGCACAGTGCTGATCAAATCAGCCGATGAGCTATTGAACTTCTCATCCGGCGAGGAAAGTTTGCTGGAGAACCAAATCAAGGCCATTGCCGATACAGGTGTTAAGGTTGTCGTTTCCGGTGGTAAGGTTGGAGATATGGCTTTGCATTTCCTAAACAAATATGGGTTGATGGCCGTTCGCTTGAATTCCAAATTCGATTTACGTCGCTTGAGTCGTACCGTGAATGCCACAGTGCTGCCAAGGATTACAACTCCTAGCCAGGAAGAATTGGGCTATTGTGATAAGGTTTGCGTCGAGGAGCTGGGCGATACCACAATTGTGGTATTCAGGTAACCATCGCATATGCCCATTGTGAAATTAAAAATAAGTAAAAAGTATATTTAATATTTTCTAGAAATGAAGGCAAGGATTCACGCGTTTCTACCATTGTCATTCGTGGTGCTACAGATAACTTCATGGATGATATTGAGCGCGCCATGGATGATGGCATCAACAATTTCAAATGTCTGACACGTGATGGACGCTATCTGCCAGGTGCAGGCGCTACTGAAATCGAGCTGGCCACACAGTTAGCCGCTTATGCGGACACTTTACCCGGGCTTGATCAATATGCAGTGCGCAAGTTTGCCAACGCCTTGGAAGTCTTTCCCAAAGCTCTGGCCGAAAACTCCGGCTCCAATGGCACAGATATTGTGAATCAACTCTACCTGGCACACAATTCCGAGAATGGCAAGAACATTGGCTTCGACATTGAAGCTGAAAAGGCTACCACCATCGATGCTGTCGAAGCGAAACTCTTCGATCTGTATCAAGCCAAATTCTGGGGTCTCAAGTATGCTGTGGGCGCTGCTACAACCATTTTGAAAGTGGATCAGATCATCATGGCCAAGCGGGCCGGTGGACCAAAACCAAGGCAGGCCGCTGGCAGCGATGATGAGAGCTAAATCATCATCCAAATTGAAAACCTTACAAAAATTTTAAGTTTCGCTAAAATCTACAACTTCATTATTTTAGTGGCAAACAACAAATGCTCTTACATGTATTTTTGTAGGCACACATTGGAAATTATAAATTTCATTAACAAAACACACACACACATACAAAAACAACAAAATGCAACACACTCACACAGCTTCTTTGTATTAATAAACTAAAACTTAAAAACTGAAAAAATGTATTTGTCTTATATGAAAAAAAAATATTCAAAGTAACCTGAGGGTTCAAATATATACATACATTTGAATAAACTGATAAATCTAAATTCATATATAGTTTTTATATTCTACTTAAATAAAAGCTTTTTATATTTGTTTATAGATATTTTTAAAGGTTTTCGTTTCGGTAACACTGAAATCAAAGACAGTTTGAATCTTTTTTGTCTCCGCTAGATAACTCATCTAAGCTTTTTATTTTTGAAATTCAAGCAAACGATTATTTGTTGATTTTTTTGGAGTACATTGCATACTTATATCAGATACAATTGAATATTTGTTTTGGTTCGAATAAAATACGATATCGTTGTTGTTTTCAAAGTTTGAAGTTAATAAAGTTTTTAAAGTGTTATCTCATGTTTCTAGGGTATTCGTGCTATAATATATATTCAATAAGTTTCTTGTAACTTTGACTTTTTTTTCTTTTTAACAGTTGTAAATATTAATTTTAAGATTCAATGTTTGTAAAGTGGAAAACAAAACAAAAACTATCCGTGCTCCATTGGATATTTTTTGCTTTGTTTCCCAGCAAACTTGAATTCTTTTTTATTCATGAACAAATTAAATTAAGGCATTAGAAATGCGATATTCATATGAAACAATCAATGAACCGAAAATTGTTCTTTCATTATTTTAGATTTTTGAAAATTTTCTTTTAACCCAACTGCAGTTTTGGTATTAAAAGTTTGGAAAACCTTCCGCTCTTCGAGTGGGGAATTTAAATTCAATTTTGAACAATTTTCTGCTGAATGCTCACGACAGCAGAACAGAGTTCAAAATCTATTTGAAGCGATCGAGAATGATTTCTCTTTCCTTTTGAAAAATGTGTGCGATCCCATTTTTAAATATTTTACTTAAATACCATAATGGAAGAACCGATAAATTATTAATTTGTAATATCTTTGTCGACAAAGCAAATCCGTATTATCTTAATATCGAATTTAATTATTTATTTGATTTCAAATGGTATTTGGTGAATATGAAAGTTTCAATGCAGCGCTTATATTCACTTCATTTACTGTGGTGAGTGAGGTGAGGAGTATGGAACTTTCAATGCTGCTCCAATGGTGAAATGCCATTTGGTGAATATGGAAATTTGAATGTTTCCCTTCTATGAGGAAGAACCGTTTTGTCACATTCCAATACCCTACAAATATGCCCATTACCAATTCAGAGTGTAGAAAAATAACTCAGCTTAATATATATATATACTTTGCCATTCATGCCAATTACGTTTCGGTTTGTTAATCCTTTACAAAAATATAGGCTCAACCACGGACAAATCAATTGATAGTTTCATTCGATAACAGACGTGTTTGCAAAGTCAACAAAGCTATTACTGAAAGCAAATACTGTATGCAAGTAATTTGAGTGAATTTCTTACTTTTTGGCTCAATTTTATAATAGAATCACACATACTTAAAATTTGATGTAGAAAAATTGAATATTGAAGAAACAATTTTCGACTTCATTTGCGAGTTTCATAGAGATCAAAATTTTAAATTTATATAAATTATCGTTCATTATTGCATTATAAAATATTGGCATGAATTGCCTGTTAATAATCAAAAAGACGAAAGACTACATTTTAGATATATATTAATATATATATTTTTGCATTTATATATTGCGTTATTGCAACGATTTTTTGCTGTAATATTTAGTTTTTTGCTAAGAAAAACGTTGGATAATTAAACTCACTAAAGCTGATCTAGGTTGCTTGCCTGATTTTAAAGCTTTTAAAGTAATCATATATAGTTTGTTGAATCCGCTTAGCTGGGACTTGTAAAGGCTAATTATAATATTAATTTTCTTGATTATAACATACTACATAATTCGAGTATGTGTAACAACGTGAACAGATTAGTTTTTAAATAAGTGGGCGAAAAAAATGAGTGTTGCGAATTTTTGGTTTGTGATTCATTTATTTGTGTGTTGTACTATGTTTTAATAAATATATTTGAAGTTGTTATATATATATTATTTAGATATAGATTTCATAGGTAGTTGTTGCTATATAGTCCGCACTTTAATTGTCCTTCAAGTTGGGATATTCGTGTACACTGGATGCGTCACTATATATATTTCTATGCATATATATATATATATATATATATATATATATATATATATATATAGGTAAAGAAGGTTTTGCTGATATTTTCCGAATAAATGCCAAGGTTTATATACTTGAAGAATTTAAAATTTCAGTTGCTGCTATGTTGTTTGTTCTATTTTTTTTTAATAGGTATTTAATAGACCCCTTTAATTTTTTATTTTGCTATAATATTGCTTTTGTAATATGTATTTGTAATTTGTTGTTGCTGGTGTTTTCTATAGATATTCATGTTTAGCTGGTGGTGTCGACTTTTGTTATTGTTCAAGTTTATTTATCTGATTTAATTTGGGTGCTTGTGTTTTATAAAGAACTTAAAAACGAAATACATATATCATCCATCGATCCATCCATAAAAACCTGCTTAAAGAGCAGTGCACGACGACTTCTCACGGAATGGGTTTACCTTCTGACTGGTGAAGCCAGTCAACAGATAATCCTCCTGCTCGTGCTCCGATATATACTTCTTCATTTTATCGCACGATACCGACACGGACTGTCTATCGATCGCAGCTTCCCGGCGTAGCTGTTCAACGACAATGCGCTGCTGTTGTAGGGAAGATGACATTACGTCCATCACGGCTGTCTCGGATAGGCCTATGGTTGAAAATGTTCTCAGATACGATATGCAAATACAATACAGTAAGTGTAGTTGGTGATTGTGTGCTTATTTGGCTGCTTGTGAGGTTTTTGAAATTGTCTTGATTGCTTTTATTTTATTTATATATTTTTTCTTGTTTGGATGAATGGAGGGGTCGCGCTGTAAATGTAGTAAGAAAAAACAGAGCAAATGCCAAAAAATACATTGTTTTAAAATATGTTTTTGAATTTTCACATTTGGCACGGACAGTAGGTACGACATTGAGTACATATACACAGGAAGTTGGACAGCTTGAAAAGAAGTATTAGGTCTAGAGAGAATTGTGTTAGGTAGCTTTAAAAAAGTTGTAGTTGTTCGTTAAATAGGTTCTTTAGTTCCAAGTTCACGTTCACATTCAAGTGCACACGTATGTACGTATGTATGCATGTATGTAAATACAATAATAGCCATATTATAATATAAATTTATTGGTTATATATGATTTCATTTTAATCATAACACCACGCGCGATTTCTAGTTGATTGCATTTATAGGGCTTCACATCCAAATATAGTATATTTTGACTTTTTTTTCTCAATCTTTCGATTGATTTTATTTCTGATATGCAAAAATAGGCACACATACATGCATACATATGACTACATATACACGTCTATCTTTGCTTAAAACTAACAGTTTTAGTTAATAGAACACACACAAGCACAACTACAATTTAATAACGTAATATTTGCAACATTTACCAGCTTTATGTCAACGTTTTTTTAAGTTTCCGAAAAATAGGTCCAAGTTCGTTTGACTCGAACAAAAAGATACACACCCAAACCAATGAAACGTGAAGTTGGCTGCGTGTAGGCGCTATACGATATCGATTGCGTGTTATGAAAATATCGGTATACTACATGTGAGTGCGGGTACGCACGAGCATCCATCCCTGGATGCCCGACTTTAGTGCAATGATGATGGCGAAGGACGAATGGTCCGCTGAAGAGGAGTTGCAGCTCTTCCACGCAATGGAAGGTCTGCGACCCGTGGGTATAAACAAACATTTCTACATGTCTTGCATATCGGAACGCCTCTCAAAATCGCTTAACCGTGAAATGCCCAGCGACATAATCTGGAGACATTTAAGTACAATGTACAAACTAAAAGAACTAGATGATCTTGAAGGCTTGCCATTTCCCAACGAAGAGCGTGAGTTTTGTTTGCCGGAACAGGATTACGCCACATTCGTAAATAAAAAGACGATTGGAGCTAACGCTAACGAAGAAAACACAGATACACCGGCTTCCACTGGGCCCACGGTCCCAGCTGCAGCTATTGATAGCAATAGTAAAAGTGAGTCACGTAAACCAATTGTAAGTTCTAGTTTTGTATATTTCTATATCAATCAAATTTTAGGCACTAAGCTTCCAGTGGTTCAATCGAAAGACAGCGAAAAGAAGATGCCGGCGAAACTCTCGGATTTGCCGAAAAGACCTGCAAAACGAACTCGTGGCTCGATGTCAAATGAATCTATTAGCCCTTCGACCACACCTCCACCCATGCAAAGCAGCAAACGCCGTCGTATTTAAAAGATCAAATAGTTATCATTTTATTAGTTGTAGTTAAATAATGACCAAACTTTGACTTAATAATTAAATGTATATATAGACGATTCAATCATCAAAGTCACTATTACTGGACTCTGTTTCAGTTGACTCCTTTTCCGGTTCTGTAGTAGTTTTCATGGAGTCCAGCAACGATTTCAACAAGCGTTTATTTAAGTGATCCGTTTGTGTGATCTCACGTACGGGTGGGTCCTGGGGTGTATTGTTTGTTTCTGTCGTTGGCGCAGGTGGCGTGTTCACAGGCATGGCATCGATGTTCTCCAATAATGGCATACTAGCTATATTATTTAATTATTCAAATTGTTTGCTTCTGAATGTTTATATTTCTCTCAATTTTTTCTTTTCTATGACAGTGCTATGACACAGCTGCTTGGGCTGTAGCAGTAAGACAATTAATTTGTTGTCGAATTTGACATTTTGTCAGCCCTGGTAAATAACACCTCTGCTTGTTTGTGAAGTCACATACATAGTTCGCGCTTGAATTCATTTTAAAATGAATATATGTATGCTTGTACATATATGTCGTTCAGCTAAGCGTTAAAGCCTTGGAGGTAATTCTTAGAGGAAAAAAATACTTGGAGGAAATACTAGCCTGATAGTTGCTTTTGTCGATTGTTTTGGTGTTTTACCTAAGATAATTAGCAAAATTTTTATTATTGTTAAAAAAAAGAGACAGCTGGCAGGGCTGCGGTGGTATAATTCGTGTAATTTCAAGTGTGCCCAGCCCTGGTTAATAGCAGCCCTGTTCGCTTGGACAGCGCAATTTCTGTCGCGCCCGAATTCAATTTCAATAAGAATTAAAAATGTTTGAAACTGAAGATATGCTGCCCCGAGCGGCTCCCAGACCAAGTGCACCTATACCGTTGGGATATACTGATGAGATTGTTAAGCCGACAGTGCCTGAAGTTTCGATATTGTTCGGGCAGGCGCCGCCGCAGCAAGCCCAACTTCAACAACAACAACAGCAACAGCAAGCTCAGGTACAGCAACAACGTCCTGCAACTTTCGCTTCGTGGAAGAAGCAAGTGTTGCCTCGTGTCAACTTTTCTCCAGTGGTGTCCACTGAATTAGGCCCAGCCACACCACCCGCTGCTACAGCCGTAGCAATCAGTGGGGTTGTTGGCGGAAATGAGTATAACTTTCTACCGCGCAGTCGCGCCTTCGATGCGGAGCAAGCAAGCAATCTAAATCGGGGATATGCAACAACTGCTCCCTCACATTATCCACGCGAAACGTATGCCTCAGATGAACTGGTTCCTACCCCTCGCTTGTCCAACTCCAATGCAACTGCAACTGCAAATGATGTACTTACAATTTGTGCCAGCACCCAAACAGAAGCAGAACCAGTATCTGCTGTCAAGGATCACAGGCCAGAGCCTGGCAACTTAATAGATAAAAGTGATATTAGAGAAGTACTGACACTACTGGAAACGATGCGGCAGGAGCAGCAGCAGTTAAGACGCCTCTGCGAATCCCTGGCGCAGCAGCAGCAACAACAGCAACTGCCAAGCGCAAAGACCTTCAAAGAAACTGGCACGCAATGTGCGCTTCTTGGTCCAGCTAAAAGTAAGTTTTGAATACAGGTGATCATAGACTAGATATCTATTATATATAACGAATCTTAGGCAATGTTGCAATGGTTAAGCGCACTACACCCATAATTCACGATTATATAGTCGAAGAGGAGGAGCTGCCGGCTAGAGCTTTGCCACAATTTCAGTCGCCACGTACTGCACCTCCAATAGCCCAATCCACCGGATATCGCTGCAATACGCCACAGAGTAAACAATCGCCCGCGTTGCCCGTCAAATCGAACACGGACAAAACTTTGGTCATGAACGAGTTGGCTCTGAAGTATTTGCCGCAAAGACAAATCAACGAATTGATGGAAGATTTGCGTGTTTCACCCAAGCCTGGCAACGAGGTGGTCTCAAATGGAACGCCATTGCGCGCCATTGACAATTTCAACCAGAGTCCGAATAATATGTCTAATGCCTCCTATAAATATCTCAAGAAATATCGTCTTTTGCCCGAAGAACAAATGGGCTACGATCATCATCAGCATTTAATATCATCGCCGCAGGCCAGGAGCCAGGAGCCCATGCTGGACTTGGATAACATACGCAATCAGCCGAAGCTATTGTAAAAAAAATTCCGAGTTTTTTTTATTATAATATATATATAGTGTATATTTTTATATAATTTTTTAATTTGTTTTGAAATTGTTTTTAGTACCATATAATAATTATAACTGCATCAACTAAAAGCCGAGAAGTACACACAAAATGAAATTAGAAAACAAACATATATAATGGTGAATTTGATTTAGACAGACAATTAAATCATATAATGAAAACATTTATCCACTCAACTAGCGTAGAACCAGGTTCATTTCCGATGCCGACTGTAGCAAGACTTTCAGGCCCTGCATGAAGCCCGCACACTGAGCAAAGTCCGTGCCAAAGGCGATGCGCTGGTGCACCGCAAGGGCATTATTATAATCGGCTATTTGGATGAACTGCACAATTTGATTCAGTTGTTGCACCGTTCCCGATGTGAGCTGTTGAAAAAATCGAGTACAATTATTTTATGTGATCAAAAACTCAACATAAAATTTTATATGTTTGCTTACCCGTTCATAGCGCAAGCAATCATAGAGATTTTCCAGGCGTTTCACCACATCCACAAATTTCCGTTTGGTGCGCTGTTAAGCAATAATTTTATTAATAATATTCGTCTAGGGACAATTTGTAGTCTACTTACCGCATCATTAGTTGCGCTCAAGCACTGGTTTTTCAGTTCCTCCAAAACGGTTTGCAAATAAATATACTCCTCTGGCAGTGGAGGCTTCTCCTTAACGGGTTCCGGCTGACGCTGTTCCTGTACCGGAGCAGGTTGCTCTGTATAGCCGAACGATTGCTGTTGTTGTGGCTGCCCAGGCCAGAATTGTTGCTGCTGTGGTTGTTGTTGATTAGGCACAGCCGATGGTTGGAAATTCATTTGCTGCTGTTGCTGTGGCGGAAAAGCCTGTGGATTATTATTGGCAGCAGGATTGTAGTACGATGTACCAGAAGGTGGAGCGCCCTGCTGGAGAAAGAATGAAAGAATTAGTTTTAGGCTAAGCTTGAAAATGAAACATGTATACGGGTAAGAGATACCCTGCATTCGATATCCATATAATTTTGTACAAATATAGGAAAAAGAATACCTGATATTGATTAGGATCCATATAGCTGCTCGGATTTTGATTGGGATCGCTGCCGTATAGGGGATGTAATATGGGGGCTGCAGCAGATTCTGTTGCTGGTCGTTGCTTGGGCTAAAAATTCAAGAGTTTATCATGGATATACCGCACATATGAAATATATAAATTGCAGTACTTACCACTCGGGAGGATTTCAAAGCTGGTGGATCATTCCAGCCGGGTGGAGGAGTTGGATTACGTTGTATATTCTGCACAAGTGGTGGCGGTGCAGCTGCAGGCGGCATTGTCTCAATGGGTGCAACACCTGGTAGGTAATTGTTTTGAGGGGCCCCAGTGAATGGAGTTGGATTATATTGCTGAGCCGAAGATAGAGGATTGGTGTTGAAGGCGCTGCTATTATTTATCAGCGGCACTGGGGCCGGCTGCGAGACAGGAATAGCAGCTGGGGCTGGTACTGTGTTGTAGGCCATGCCATAGGGATTGTTTGATGCCGCCACCGAAGGATCCAGAACGTATTTAGATCGCGAGTGAAGTCCGGTTGCTGGTGTAGCTGCGCCGTGGGGAGCTCCACTCGAGGAGCTGGCATTGCTAAGTGGTCGCGGCGGATGCGTTAGTGGTTCAGCTTTTAATTGTGGCGGATTGAATATCTGTGTGGGTGGTTGAGCTGGCTGGAAGGGGGCCGGAGCTGGCGGTGCTGCTGGCTGTTGCCAGCTGCCATTTGTCGTAGCAGCATTTGGATTGTATGGATTATAGAGCATTGAATTCGCTGGGCTTGAGAAGGAACCACGAGGCTCCATTTGCCGCATATAGCCCATAGGAGCTGCAGTTGCTGCTGCTGTAGGTTGCACCTGGTCAACACTGACCGCTTTGCTGATGCGTTCACGCAGCTCATTCAATTCCTCGCTGTCCGCATTAGCTCTGCTCAATGTGGTTATATACTGCAGAGCAGCGGTCAGAGCGCCCTGGGAGGCGAGTAGTCCACTGTACTCCGATATGAAGCCTGCAAATCTCCCGGCTAGA